GGAAGAGAGAGTAGAGAGAGACGAGCAGAGAGAGAGAGCGAGAGAAGAGGAAGATGACAAGAGAGACAGAGAAAGACAGAGAGAGAAAAAAAGAAAGGAAGAGAGAAAGGAAAAGAAAGAAGAAAGAAAGAAAAAGAAAAAGAAAAGAAAGGAGAAAACAAGAAAAAGAAAAAGAAAGAGCAAAAAAAAAAAAAAAAAAAAAAGAAAAGGAAAAAAAGAAAGAGAGAGAGTATGTCACAGCTGAACCTCACTTTTTCTCAAGGGCTTGCTGCATCCCGCCAAGGTGCGTCTCCGAGAAGTACGTCCGCTCAGCCAGTTCCACAGACATGCTTGAGTTCGACTCCTTGAATGTCGTGTAAAAGTTGATTTTGAGATCGGGAGACATTATCACCCTGTAATTAGAGGACGAAAGAGTTGTTGGTTTCTGAAAGGCGATATTAAGAAGATGTGTTTGTTTTGGATGGTAAGAAATGAGTCCTAGATGCTGCACGGACGGTAATGTGGTTGCGAACAGTAGCTGCGATAGGAAAATGTAACGTGAGAGTCTTATATAGAAGTAAAATTGTCTTCTATTTGTTTCACATAGTAACCTACCAGTTAAAAATATGGTTTATCAGAATGCATATTTCAACTGCATGAACTCTGACAGACAGGTAATGCCACTACTTCATTATGATACGATCTCTCTATCTCCATTTATTATTTCTTTCTCTCTCTCTTTTTATCCTTTCTCTCTCTCTCTCTCTCTCTCCTTTTATTCTTTCTTTCTCTCTCTTTTTATACCTTCTCTCTCTCTCCTTTTATTCTTTCTTTCTCTCTCTCTCTCTTTTTATTCTTTCTTTCTCTATCTCTCTCCTTTTATTCTTCTTTCTTTCTTCTTCTCTCTCCTTTTATTCTTTCTTTCTCTCTCTCCTTTATTCTTTTTTCTCTCTCTTTTATTCTTCTTCTCTCTCTCCTCTCCTTTTATTCTCTCTCTCTCTCTCTCACTTAGCGGAGGTCCTGAGGAGGTCCCTGAGGCCTTCGACCCGCGGGGGATATTTGGGGATGGTGAGGAAGGCGGTGAGGTTGCCGCGGTAGGCCGAGCCCAGGACGAAGGCCACGACCAGCCAAGAGGCCACCAGGACGCGGGTTGAGGACACGGTTGGAAGGGAGAAGCTTTGGCCGAGCAGAGTTCCGAACACTTGCTCCGTCGCGGCAAGGAGGCTGAATTTCTCCTTCGCTTCGCGTCGCATTCGAGATTTGGTCAGCTGGTGAATGAACGCAAGAAAGTGAGAGCTATTTTTTTTTTCTCTTACAAAATGGTCTTCCAGTTCCAAATGGTCATTGCCACACCTTTACATCAATCCTTTCCCTTAATAATTACATCCCTAAATCATCCAATCCCTCCTTTTCCCATTCTATTTTTCTAACATCGACTAAACAAAGCTCATACCAAGAAGAACGTCGCTGGAACTATAACAAGCAGCGCCATGATGGAGGCCCACACCCTCTCGCCAAGGGGGTAGTAGAGGTTCTGCCAGCGAGGCTTCAGCTCGGGCTTGGCCATGCAGAAGGTGAGCGTGGCTTCCTCGATCATGAAGGTGTAGTCGTAGCGCAGAGCCAGGTGGGGCAGGAGAGCCAGCTTCTGCGGACTGATTAGGGCTCGACGGTACAGCACGTGGTCCATCCTCTGGAAATTGATTGTATTAACAGTCGGTCGTATGAGTGAGGCATTACACGCCGAAAGCCTATTTGCAGTTGGTGTCTCCGTTAGTTTCATGTTTGTAACCACTGGTACTTTCAGTTGATTTGAAGCAGGGCAGCATTCCTCTTGTAGGCGCTGATGGGCGCCCTTTTATCAGAAATAAGAAGAAAAGCATGCAATGTTTTGCTTGTGTGGATAATGATATTGATATGTGAATTTCTAACCATATATATATATATATATATATATATATATATAGTATATATATTATGGTGTGTGTTGTGTGTGTGTGTGTGTGTGTGTATGGTATATATGTATACATTACATATATATGCATATATTTATATGTATATATATATATATATATATATATATAATATATATATATATATATATATATTGTGTTGTGTGTGTTTGTGTGTATTTATATAAGTGTATGTATATGTGCATTGTGCACGTGTGTTTAAGCGTGCGCACCTGTATCTGTGTCTACGTGCACACACACGCCCCAACAAATGGCTCCTACTAACGTCCTTGCTGACCCTCGCGGGCAGCGCCTCGCCGATGGCGAAGTTGAGGTGGCCGGCGATGGCCTCCAGGATGCGAATGCCGCGCCCGTACAGCCTGGTGTACTCCGTGCCGTTGGGCGCCACCACCCTCTCCTGCATCATGACGGGCTCGAAGGGCCAGATGGCGATGGGCAGGGCCGCGCCGTGGAAGCTGCGGGACGGATGTTGCATGGCAGTGGTCAGAGAGATGCATAGTCAACTAAAATGCTTTTTGATAATAGAAATATAACAATAGATGGAACACCGC